CGCGTCGCCCCGGGCCTGGCGCGGGAAGGGGCTCCGCGCGCGGGACCTCGGGCCGGCCGAGCGCGCGCGCGCGGGCCGCGGGGCCGCGCGGAGCAGCGCGGCGCCGGCGCGCAGGCGCAGCAGCTCGGGGGCCATGCCTCTTGGGGGGGGCGTCGGCTGCGGGGAGGCCCCCCATCGCCGGGTGAGCGGCGAAGACCGAGATGACTACCTACCAGACCACCCCAACCCAACCCGAAGACCCGAATTTCGGGCTGGGGGGGGGGAAGGGTTCCACGCGTGTTTTGTTCGATGTTTCCCGACCCTCCCCCACTGGAAGTCGAGGGTAAATCTGAGCCTTCGGGTTGGGTTGGGGCGGTTCGGTGGGTGGTGAAGAGAAGAGGGAAAACACCCTCATAAGAAGTATCCCGGCCAGGCGAAGCCCTCTAGTAAACGTGCCCAGGAACAGGAATCGAACAGGGCAGAGCTATTTAAGAAACGCCCGGGGCCGCTTAAGAAACGCCAGTTCTGAGGGTCGGCGTGGTCTTTCTTTCCTCCCTTGAGAGATGGCATAGCGACCATACGTGCGGCACGCTACCTAGGAAACGAGGGCGCTTACGCGCGACCTTGCGTTGGCAGCGTACGCGCGAATGTTGGCGCAGCCGACCTCGTTCTCTTCCGTCGACCAGGTGGTGACATGTGAATCCTACCCCCACCTACCATCGACTCCCCTGAATCAGCGGGAGCTGGGGGTTAGGGTTCGGATTTCGCTACGCGTTCGACGAAGTCTAGACCCTACCCCGCCGCCCATCGCGTTGCCCGAATCGTTGATCGGCGAGTGTAAAATTCGGATTTCGCCGCCGACTCGCGTCGTGAAACAGAACCGCGTTCAGAATTAGTGTTTCGAATTTCGGACTCTGGGTGTCCTCGCCAGGCCCCAGGACCGTCAACAAAAGGATCCAGATGGAAAAGCCAGTCCCGGGGAATGGGTCAAGACCTCTGGGGTCCAAAGTGCGGAGAAATCGCGACGTCGGGGGTCGGGGTCTGGATGCCCCCTCGCTATATGGCGACATCCGAACCCTACCTTACCAACTTTCGATTCTCTTGAATCGGTGGGAGGCGGGGCTAGCCCTGATGGTCCGCTACCGAAAATTTCCGGTAATGCTCCGCAGAGATCGGTCGCTACCGAAATACCGAAATGTAGCGCCCAATACCGGTATCAGACCGTTCTGAAATCCGCTATTTCAACGCTTTCAAACGAAGATCCGGTCGCTACCGAAATTCGGGGTGCGTCGAAATCGCTACCGAAAATTTCCGGTACCAGACCATCAGGGAGGGTTCGGAGTTCGCCACGTGGTTGACGAATTTCGAACCCTGACCCTGCCGCCCATCGAATTGCCCGAATCGTTGATCCGCCGAACTCGGAATTCGCCGCCGACTCGCGCCGTGAACAAAAACGCGCCGGGAACTGTTTTCTACTGGCTATTTTCTTATCTCTGGAGGCCCTCACTGGGCCCTGGACCCCCCGGACCGTCAGCAAAAAGACTCCAGAAGACAAGCCGGTCCGGGGGAATTGAAGGGGCCCTGGGACACACAAATAAATACACACAAATAAAAAGATTCCCCATATTTTGCCATATTTTCTGGGTTTTTGTCTTCCCCCCCCAATTCCCATATTTTCCTATATTTTCTGGGGAGTCGACGATTAATTGTGTCTGTGTGTTTTTGCCTCTCCTGAGGAATGGGTCAAGACCTCTGGGGCGTCGGCTCTGGAGGCCCCCCCAGACCCGGATCTCCGACGATCTGAATTTTTCAGCCGGCGGTCCGACATCGATTTCGGCCCTCGGGAGCCTTTGTCGGACCCCCGTATCACTCAAGATGGATCAGCTACGCAAAAACGGCTCCCAGGTGAGCGGTCAGGACCGAGAGTGGAAAACATCAGACCGGCGGATGTCAGGGAATGCATCTGCATGGGGTCGGAGCAGATTGGGCACCAGGATCGCGCATTGCCGATGCATCGGCGGCGTCGGCGATGCCTGGGCTACAGCCAGGCCGTCTTTGTGCTCGTTCTAGTCTGTTTTCGTCTGTGGTCGAGGAGTATTGCGTAGCGTCGGAGGACAAATGGTGATCTCGTGATTTGTCGAGGTCGGGCAAAATCGATCAACAAAAAGGAACGACGGCGCGGAGAAAATCGGACTCCACACCGAGCCACGTCGCCGATGCGTCGGCGATGCGGCGCGATCGTCCGACCCCGCCTGCACGGACCTCCTGGCTAAGCCCGCCCGAACATCCTCGCGTCGTGAAAAACGTGGGCGTACGGTTTTCAATCGTTTTCGACCTCAAGGGGCCATTACTGGGCTCCATGGACCGCGAAAAGCGCGGCTCATGATGAAATGGTGGTCCCAAGCAAGGGGTCCAGACCTCTGGGGAACCACGATTCGAACAAACATCACGACGTTGGCTGTCTGTGCAGGATAGATGTAGACGGCCTCTGGCTTGGCCAGAGAGGCAAATTAACCAGGGC